ACATATGTTTTATGAGTACATATATTTTATAAGATACAGAAATTCTTAAATTTACTATTCTTTCTACATATATGTATCAAAATTTGAAATTATTTTGATATAAAATTTTAACTCTTTATTTTACATATACTATATTATAAAAATATATTTATTAAAAATAATAAAATAAAAAATATCATTAAAAATCGTATATCAATGTTTTCAAAATTTTATATACATGATATGATTCATGCTCACCTAATAAGACTATAAAAACTTATATTTACCAAATAATTACTCACTAAACAATTATTACTATATAATTACTCACTTATAATTACTAAATAACTATTGTAAAGATATAAATCTTAATACTCCATCAAATGATTGAATAAAAAATTGAGTACATGCAAAACCATATCAACACAAATAGAGACGATACCTAGAGCATTTTATATGTATAAATTTTAAATATATTATATTTATAATTTTTAATTAGATATTATAATTATATGGACATCAAAAACATTCTATACAAGAAAAATCATTTCATTTTATTTAGTAAGTTAACATATCTTAATTTTAAAATTATCTACTTTTCATTGTCCTATTATAAATAAAAATAAGTGATGCCCTTAGGGTATGACTAAAACTAAAAGTGAGGGTGTTACAAATTTTTTTAAGTATATCAAACACTTATATGTAGATTAAGTTCTTTTTTCTGATATTATATGCAACTCAAAGTCATAAATTATGTCTTGATTCGTTAAAAATGTTTTTTGATTAGAAGAAATATTTTTTATTTATAAACCAAAACACGATGTAACAATTTGAACTAATGCAAGTGTAAATGAAAATTCTTCATTGAGGCTAGTGAGGGACTTTAAAATATTAAAAAAACCAAATTGAAAGGGCTTTTCTGGGAAATATTCCCCATAATTGGAGGCTCTTCAGCATTTGATTTCAAATAATTAGTCAACTTAGAAACTATTTTCAGGTTGATTTCAAGACGAACGAAATGGAGGTTTTACAATACATATACGTACAGAAGATTTGGTTCTCCTAACGTTTCGTCCGGATAATTTTATGCTACCGAGATGTTAAGTATCGTCCACAAAATAACGCATGAGCCACAGGAAAAGCAGCCCAATAATTTTTCGGCCGTCAGTGGTACCTACATTGGCCTGTAACAACACAACCAATTTCGGCCTCGGCCTGACCCACTATCTTAACGGAATATTCTAATTTTGCGAGGCATGTGCATCCAAGACTTACCATAAAAATTTAAATTAAGGATGATTTATTCAAAATAAATCTCCACTTATTTATTTTTACCATCACACGACTCTATTGAGAAATTATCACGAGGCATTTTGTATGAAATTATCCATCGGCGGAGAGGAGAAGACGGGAGAGAAATGCGGGGATGATCTGAAATTGTTCTGAACTCGCTATGGTCATCAGATCTTATCAAGTCTCAACAGATCTTATTAGTCTCAACTTATGCTTCATACCCAACAGGGCGCCCTTGAGATGATATCAAGTGTTTGATGTGGTTGTAAACCAATGTGATATTGATGTGTCGTCTCCACTGATCTCCAAGTTTATTCGGAATTAAAGTTGAAGAGAAGGTCGATATAAGCCCATTGGCATTCGAAGCAGGCCATTCCCTTATAGAGTTTTTCTGCTTGGCCAAGATGGACTACGTATGCAGATATTACATGTTTTTGATAAATAATACGATAGAAAAACATTTCATAATTAAGAAAAATGGCGAAATGCGTGAGGATGAGAGATGTTGATGTATCATCATTACTGATCTGCAGCACGATTAGAACTCATGTGCAGAACCGAAACGATGAAGGTTGATATCAGTCCATTAGCATTCAAAGCAAGACATTGCCTCACAAGGCTCTTCCGCTTTGCCAAGATGGACTAGGTACCAAATCGTCATTAACACAGACCACGTGTTAATGGCGATGCCATTAGCTTTGAGAATAAAAAGGATAATTCATGCAAATACTAGTAAAATTTATCTAGTGGGAAAACGGAAGCCAGACCTGATCTTGCACCCAAATCAGAAGCCGCTTGAAGTGTCACGAGTTTGCATCTTCCGTCCTATAGAGAAGAAACAAAGCTAGAAAATGCTGAGAAAAGAAAAAAAGGAAGAGAAAAAGTAGGACTAACACAGACCACAGGAGGAAGGGGTCAGGATCCGAAAGCGTCGGCGATCAACCACGGCCCGTTGGGGGCGGTGGAGGCCAAAAGCTGGATAAGACTTGTGGAGACAGGGAAATTTATATGGCGGGATTAGGTTTACCGGAAGAGTGAGAGGGCTCAAAACGTACCAACGCCGTCCGATCCACTCGACGCTCCTGATTAAGTGATCATCAAATCGGAGGGTCCAACCTGTGGAGTTTTACTCATCCGACATGGTGGGTATGGTATCGGAGTTCATCCTGGTAGACTTTGTTAAAAGCCTCCGAACCAATGTGACAACAGAACGTATAAATCAGCCTAGTGAAAAAGGAAGTTTATGAGTTAATTATTAGCATTTATTTTTCGAATATATTAATACAATCCAGGATATCAGTACACTGAAAGGAAACCAAGCCAAACTCCAGATTAGTAGTCCTGCGGAAGCCTCAAGTTTAATATGGAACGATGATGGAATCTATAAACTCCTGAAGTGGCGCAAGTTCCATCTTGTCAATCAAGCCAAACTCCTGCATCACAATTACATGAAGATATTAGACGTAGGTCATGATCTGCATGTACAGTATATTTAGATAAAACTCAATCTCTACACATCATTTCTTTAAAGTTCCAAAGAAAAGGTTGACACAAAAATGTCTAATTTGCTATAATCAATTCACGTGAATCTTATGAATGTTATGGTATTCTCTACGACTCATAATTTTATTTTACTATTTTTAATTCAGTCTACTCAAATATGATAATTCATAAGCATATTTCTTAGATAAAGTTATAATTATTTTAATATATTTTTCTTCGTGACTAAGAAATGTATTAAATGAGTTAGTTACTAGCTGTAAAATATTTAACTTCATAATTCCCTATGCATGAATGGTTGTTTCATATACTAATACTTATTTTGATGTTTCAGGGTTAAAAAAAAATTATAAACTAAGGATATTGGTAGAAGATTTTTTAGAATTTTCTCTTAAATTCTATATCTCTTGGATGCATCCTTAAGTGATGAGCTTTTAGTTTTAGTTATGTATCCTTGTTTATTATACTTGGGGTGATGAACTTTCTATATCGCTCTGTGATTTTAAACTTGATAGTGAGCTTTATTTTTATTTTATTAAAGTATTATCATGAGTTCGTTTCTTTTCCATCTAAAAAACTTATTCTAACAAATATAATTATACTTTCGATCAAGAGCACTAAGAGGGGGGGGGCGAATTAGTGCAGCGGAAAACTTTCGACGTTTAAAACTATGTTTGTTCATTGAAATCCGATTCCGACGTAAAAGTCATTTCGTGCAGATAATAACTTTGAAAGCTTACGGAAACATATTTGAAGTAAAGTAAGGAAGACAGTTTGCAGTTAAGATAAATAGCACAAAAGAAATGCAAACCAGATTTTAGAGTGGTTCAGTCAAACATGACCTACATCCACTTTCGGCTTCCTCTTCCGACGAGGTCACCGGTGTCTACTAGAGGCCTTCCTTCAATAGGCGAAGGCCAATCACCCTTTTACAGTTTCACTCCTTTTGACGAGCTTAAGAGACAATCCTTACAGAATTTTCACTCCTCTCTTGAATGATCAAAACTTGGAAAAAGAGAGGGAGGAGAACTGTTAGCTTATACAACACTTTTGAGCTCTAAAAATCACAAAGTAAGATTGGATTTTCGGTACCCTTTCATGCAGGAAAGGGTGGGGTTTATATAAGCCCAAAACTTGTTTGAATTTGGAGCTAAAAAATGTCATCTCCCGAATTTTCGGGGTCCTGGCGGTTCTACCGCCAGATTGGACGGTATGACCACCTGATAGAGCTTGGAGACCGAGCTCTAGCGGTACCACCACCTGACAGGGGTGGTACCACCGACCAGTCTCGCTCGAAAACTGAGCCTAAGCGGTGCCACCGCCTGACTAGGGTGGTTCCACCGCCTAGTCTCGCTCGGAGATTGAGCTCAGGCGGTGCCACCGCTTGACCTGGGCGGTTGCACCGCCTAGCTTTCTTGGGAGACTGAGCTCCTGGGCGGTGCCACCGCCGACCCAAGCGGTGCCACCGTCGACTAGAAAATTTGGGTCCGAATGGGCTGATCCATCCGGCCCAATTTGGGTCTGTCAAGGGCCCAATTGCCCCCAGATTAAGTTAATGAGATCACCTCCCATTCCTAGCTTAATCTACATGCTAACTATAAAAGTTCTTAAGACATTTACTGCAACTTGCTCCGGTGCATCAATCGCTTCTTCCGGCGAGCTTCCGGCAAACTTCCGACAAATATCCAACGAACCCTCGGCGATGCTCCGACGGACTTCGGGCCAACTCTTGGACTTGCAATGATCCACTTGGCGAGTTCCGACGAGCTTCTTTAGCAAGCTCCTGGACTTCTTGGATTTGTTCCCGCAGAACCTCCGATGACCATCCGGACTTCCGTCGAACTCTCGAACCCCCATTGCGATCATGGTCTTAACGCCGACGCAACTCCTACTGCATGTCTTATTTCTATCGTAGTTAATCCTGCACATGTAAAACAAAATTTGATCTAAACAATTAATACTAAGCATTAATCAAGTTGTCCGGCATGTCATTGGTCCCTCGATGCTTCATCCGATTCTTCGGTGCATCATCCTCTCCTATGGCCTATTGCCCAATCAGCCAGTTGACTCTGCAACTCCGATATCCTTGGCATAATACCCGCTCTTCTTGGCCCAATGCCCAAGTCCATAGCCCGAAGCTTTCTGTCGATATGTCAACTGATCTACCGGCCCGACGTCCAATCTTCTGACATGTTCTCCGGCCTAACATGATTTTTCCTGCTTTAATTGTCTTATCCTGATCGAAGCATCCTGTGTACTCAAAATACATATTAAAACATAAACACAATTATCAATTAGTTTCATCATCAAAATACGATATTCAACAATCTCCCCCTTTTTGATGATAACAACCAATTGATGACGGAGTTAGACTTAACTCCCGGAGTTTAAACAAACTCTCCCTATCAATATGCCATATTGATAGAACCTTGAATTCAAACTGAATTTAAGTCATTGCAATATTCATCATGAATACTTGCAACCCGTCATCATGAACTTATGCATAAACTTATGCATAACATCATACTTCTCCCCCTTTGTCATCAACAAAAAGGAGAAGTTCCAACTCTAATGTGTTTGTAATATTAATTCAACTTATTGCATGAAAAATATAATATTAAGTTTTATCATCATGCAGTTTTGAAGCTAGAAAATTTAGCAAATGTTACATTATGCTTAGAACATTCAAGCTATCAAGTATTGATATGCAAGTTTTACAACATATAAGATAGGACTTTTGGTAATTTTCAAGATAGCAAGTTCTACATCATGCAAGCTAGCAATGTTATAACATTTTAGAACATGCAAGCTAACAATTTAAAGATGTTCAAGAAAGCAACTCTTGCTTCTTGAAATATGTAAATTTTACAATATACAAGCTAGCAAATTCAAAGATATGCAAGATAACACTTTTGCTTCTAGAAATATACAAGTTAGCAATCTTTACTTCTCTTTTGAGATGAGCAAGCTAACATATTTTTGCATCTTTTTGACTTTTTAAGTTAGCAATTCTTGGTGATGTTCAAGATAGCAATTTCTTTCTTCTCTTTTGAGAAGTGCTAATTTTTTTGCTTCCTTTGCAAAGTTTGAGCTAGCAATTTTGCTTCCATTGCAAAGTG